TCTGGTCAGATGTCCCGCGGCGGCTGACCACGATTTGCGTCGGAATTCCTCTGGTCTGGAAACTCCTGGAACGGCCAGCGACTGCCTATCTGTTCTTTTTCGGTGCCCACGCGATTTCTGCATGGGAGTTCACAATGCTGGAGCCTGCATCAACAACTTCCGCTTCTACTCCCACAGCGCCACGACCATTGTCAAGACTCCTCTTTTGTGCTGCGAGTCTGCTGCTGGCGGCCATCCCCGAGTCGTCGTCTTCGCTTTATTGTTTCGGATCTTCCCTCGCGGCTGGAGTCTTTTGCCTGGCAAACAGTCACCACTGCGTAGTTGGATTGATGGTAGTGACGCTGCCCTTTCGAGCCTGGTGTCAGCTGGCGCTGGGTAACAGCGATGGATCAACCTTTCTCAGTACCGTTGCGGTTCTGCTGACCGTTTGGAACGCCGATACCGGGGCGCTGGTTGCGGGCCGATTGCTAGGCAGAAGGAGGTCAACCCCAGGGTGTCTTCCGGAATGGATCAGGCGCGTGTCTCCCGCCAAAACCGCCGAGGGGTTCCTCGGAGGGATCCTTGGCGGCATCGCCACGGCCCTCTGGTTGGTACCAATGCTTGTGCGAGTCTTTTCCATGGACACAACGCCAGGGATTCGATCGTTGTGGGGACTCGATGCAGACGATGGCTTGGGCGCCGTCAAGAGGATAACACTGGGATTCGTCCTCTCGGTCTTGGCAATACTAGGTGACCTGGTGGAATCTTCTGTCAAGCGGCTTTCCCATTCCAAGGATTCCGGGAGCGTTCTTCCCGGGCATGGTGGGATTCTCGACCGTTTTGATTCATCCCTGCTAGCGGTCCTATTTTACAGGGTGGTCCTCGACCAGGCGACAGAGCTCACGTACGGAACATCGGGAGATGCGATAATGGAATCGGGGGAAAAGGAAGAGTTGTAGAGGCCAACATATCTATTGATACGAAAAAGAACATTGCAAGAGGAATACCAAAAAAAGCACCAGTTCGATAGTTTTCATAGTGTTCTATTTTTTAGAAATCGAAACGAGTTTTTTCATTCAGCAAACTGGGTGACAACAAAAGTAGGATTGATGAAGTACGAATTGTCTCTCCGAAACGCTTATGGTGTTGGTTGCCATTGCATGGTATTGTATTTCCAGCAGAATTCTATCGCATTCAATTTACCACCACCCGAGGCGTCAACCCATTAGTGTAATTGCGTAGAAGGAGCCATAGTTTCACTCACGAACCGAGAATCTACTTTGTTCCTGCTGCTCTCATCAGTTCTGGGACGGTGGAGAGTTTGGCAATTCGTACGAATACAGGTAACAATATGTCGCCATACATAAAGTGTAAGAGTACCCGTTCTAAATATAAGTGATTGATGTGGTGTCTTAGGACCCTCAAAGTAATAGTTCAGGCTGTCCTGGTGGACAGATGCGTTGGTCATGTCTTCTTGGCCAGGAGAGGCCGCGTAGCCTTCTGTATGCCTCCCTCGTTGAAGTCAAGAAGGGGCTGACGTGACCATGTGCGTTTCTTTCACTTCAAATTCGTCATGCAGTTTCGATCGAAATTTGAATACTTATGAGCTCGCGGATACTAGTTTCCTGATCGTACCCGCATACCTTAAGTACAAAACAATGAAATCGGGAATTGTATGCCTCGCCCCTTTTCAATTTCTTGTCGGTTCTAAGATGTCTGATTCGCAAAAACCCATGTAGATGCAAATCCTAATTGATATTTTTCTTCCATCCTACGCTAAGTCTATAAAAAATTACATCCAATGTTTTCATTTATGTTGTCGATTGTCAGACTTAAGGTTTCCTGAAGTGTACGTATGTACTTTCCAATTAATAATATTTTTATTATAACCTCCATTTTCCTAATGGTATTTTCTTCAATCCGAGTGTCCGATCAAACACGTATTGATCAGGTAACATTACCGTATGTGATTTATACTTCTTTCGCAATTAAAAAGTTACTTCTTCCCATCCATTCTCAGACATTCAGAACTTAAGTAGGTCTAATTCCATTTACTGATAAATAAGAGANCAGACATTCAGAACTTAAGTAGGTCTAATTCCATTTACTGATAAATAAGAGATCTGCGATCAAAAATGAAAGTCTTTTGGGCCAAGCGAAAACTTCGTAAAGCAATGACGTGTTTTTCTACTGGATTCCATATCCGATCCTCGTACGGTAGCTTACAGCTTACTAGCTACGTCTGAACTAGTACGAAAATATGTAGAAAAAGGGTTCAATTGCCAAAAAATGATGTACGGAGAATCAACGAAATTCGAGCACTACTTGTGAAGTCAAAGAGCACAACTGTGTTTTTTTCTTCTATTCGGATGAGATGCTTTTCATCTCACAATTTCAATTTATATTCCTTTGAAATTGTACTAGATTCTGTTACATCCAATCTTGTAAGACGCCCTATCGTGCATGCAATGTCCATATCGTCTCTTCAATACGTCTCTCTTGTCCACGTGTGTAGAAAAGTTTTCTCACGATTTTCAGTTGCTTGATGTTACTTTTTCCATCGACTGGTACAAATTACTTCAATCCCAGGAAAATGAAAATTCACGTTTCGTTCTTGGCCTTCGTCCTCGTCCTCTTTTCTGCTGCACCGGTTGCACTCGGTGGCAACTCGGATCCGAATTCTACTTCGTCGGATACAGATGAAGTTTCCTCGTTCTTGAATTCTGGTTCGAAGGACACCACGGGATCCCTTTCCAGCGAGGCAGATCCCACCCTTCACGCTGACAGCATCGAGGACAGAAAATTGGCACCAGCACCAAAAAACGAGAAGTACGACTTTCATTTAAGTGTCGTTCATCTAGGTGACTCTTATTCCTCCGGAAACGGTGCGTTTGAATTGGAGACTCACCCGATTGGTCCATATTGGTGTTTTCGCCAAGAAAAATGCTGGGGATTTCAGGCCATTAAAGAGATCGAAAAAGAATTTAAACATCCTGACCAGGTCCAGTATATGAACAGAGCATGCAGTGGATCCACAATAGAGCATTTTTCTTATCCCTATTTTCTCCTAAATAATGAACCAGAAGAATCCGACAGAAAGAAAGGAAAATGCGATTTCAATCATCTTCCTGAGATGGATACAAAAATAGAGAACAAGAAGTGTTATAATCATATGCGTCCTCAAAAATTCGAGGTTGCCACGAACGTCGACCTAGGTACGATTCACATTGTATTCCCATTGATTTATTCTTTGTCGATGACCGTGGTTTCTAAACAAAAGGATGCAATTCAAATGATTTGCTTGCACTTTCCTTCTAGTCTTGCTTACTACCGGAGGCAACAATGTAAATTTTGACAAGATCATTGAAACATGTTTGGTTCCTGTTGCCGACTTTAGGAATTATCTTCCATTCACCAAACACCACAGACACGAATGCGCTCCCTACCTTGAAGAGGCAGAAAGATTTTTGACAGCTGATGACCACGGACTTTCACCCACCTTCGTCGACCTTTTCTATGCAGGGATGATTGATTTGAAATCACGCTTAAGGCCTGACGCCAAGGTTGTGGTTGCTTCATACCCGTTCATTACGGTGGATGGGATGTTTGAGCCCGACCAAGGGTCGAAGCCGATCAACGATTATATTCGAAGATTAGGAGTCATTGCCAATCGAAAACAATTACAAGTAATTGAGAAATTGAACGAGGATCTCGAAACCAACATGTTTTATTTCTATCCTGGGACTCACAACGTTTTTAACCAGCGCGAAGCATTTTCATCTGCAGGCGTAACGAACCCGTACCCATATTTGGTGGAATTGACGGATTTCAGTAGGGCTTTAGCAGTAAAATGGAGTTTGGAAAAGAAAAAGGCAAGTGAGACTTTGGCGCTTCGCATGTTGTTCCTGTTTGATGCTGGACTATCTCGCTGGGATCGGCAGTCTAGCCGGTCCGTCGACAAGGCACTTCCGTTTGCGTTATTTGCTTTAATTTCTTTTACCGAATCCACCAGTGCACTAACAATTTTCTTTCCCTTTGTCCACAGCAACTTTATCACCCAAATCTTGCGGGTCAAACGGCATGGGCTATGGACTTTTCAAAATTCTTGAAATTGGATGTGCTGCCGCAGATTGCAACTGAAAGACGCAGGCGAAGGGATCGTTCCAGTGCCAAGTACCCGGACAGTGCTATAGATATTGCAGTACTTATCGATACTACGCTAAAAAAAGAAGAACTAAAGTCAATAAAGAAAGCTTTCAATGAGATCACTGACAAGCTTTCCCTTATCACCGATCAGTGGCGTTTTGGTGTCGTGGCCTATGGGTGTGACGACGACAAACTTCTTCAATCATTTACCAATGAAGTTGATTTGGTAAAAAAAGCTATTGGATCGATTGAATCGAAAACTTGCGAGACCGGAACTTCGTTGCTTGAGGGTATCGATGAAGTCTTTACATCTTTGCCTTGGCGTGATGGTGTCACCTCAAGTGTGATTGCTCTAGCTGGTACAGAGCCAAGTGCCTCTATGTCTTCTGACCTTTTTAAAAATACGGTTGAACAAATTAAAGATATCGGAGTAGAAATTGATGTTGTAGCATACAACGGTGTGGGTGCTGGAGAAGTAATCGACCATCTTGTCAAGGAATCCGGCGGCATTGTAATCGAACCGGAACCTATGAGAGATGTGCAAGATGTTGTGGCTGAATTGGTGACGTGGTTCGAAGACAAGGCCGCAATCCCAGTTGCCTACATGGCCGACCTCGGTACTTACGCCAGAGGGGAACCAGTTTCGGTCAGTGCACAGGGCTCGTATGATCCACAATACAAGAATATTGTTTCTTACATGTGGAACTTTTTGGGTGGAGACGCCGGTGGCGAGGTGATCACTACAACTCCAGATGCTCAGTTTACCTACAACGAAGACTTCGACGGGCATATAACTCTTGAAGTTAAAACTTCCGATGGTCGCACCAGTAATAAAATTTCTAGGTCCGTGCTCGTGAACGAGAACGGTCTACCCCCAGGCTTCTGCGATACACTTTATTACCCAAGTGAAGACGAAAGGTGCTGCATCGAACCAACCGAAAATGAGAGGTGCAATTTGAAGCCTCCCAAGAATCCCAAGAAACAAAAGAAACCGAAAAAAAATAAACCGGAGAAAACGCCAAAGGGCAGCAAGTCCCCGAAGTAATGCGAAGTTGAAGAGATCCGATGCTAGAAAGGGGATCTTGGAGACTGAATGAAGATATAAGAGTTAAGAGGAGTGAATTCCGGACAGAGGCCGTGATTATTAGAGCTAGGAGGAGAGCTCGTATTTCAATGAAATAGAGAATAAGATAGAGAACACTTTATTTGCTCGATAATAGACTGCGTTCGGGAGGTGGTGCCGCGGGTCTCGTAGACCCCATCTACGAGGGGAGCTTTGGCCAGATCGACCTCGAGACCGTCCGGGACAAACTGTTGATTCTATGATTCATGTTGACGAACAGACGTTAATCGATCGAGAAATTTGCTCACCGATTTATCAATTTATGTTGATTCACAATTTATGGCCAAGGTGGACAGAAATTGTGATTTATTTGTCATGAAAGGGTCAAAATAAGATCAGATAGAGATGTACAAGACCCAGAGGACACAGAGTGTTTCTCTCACTCTTTAATATTTTATCTAGTCAATAGGGTTATCTCTATACTCTTTTAGATGTACGTTAATTCACGCAACCACTGCTTCACAATATGATGAATAGGCAAGTGGAGATGTAATAGAATAGATCTGTTTGTTCAGTTAATGTTGCTTTATAGATAACTAAAGTAAAGAAAAGTGAGATCTGTCTCACTGATTCTTGTTGATCAGATTTGTAATCTGGTTCCGGTGATGGATTGTATTTGTGCCATCCAGGACCGGTTTTCTGTTTGAAATAAATCGTGTGGGCACACGTGCGCACTTCTTGTTTTTAGGTTTGTTTTCATGCCCAACACACTCCTGTAATTTGTTTGAATCCTCTGGTGTGAGCAAGTTAAACTGTTTCAACGTCTCGTATTACTTTATCTTGTATTCTACAAAGTCTTCCGCGTTCACTCCAAGTACTGCATCGCGGAATTTGAAGAACATTGCACCTTGCAAAGGCTTGGTGAAGAAATCAGCTATCATTTCCCCTGTGGGGCAAAACTGTACCTTGATGTGCTTCTTCTGGATTTGATTGGTTATGAAGAAATATCGTATGCCAATGTGTTTACTTCCTTTTCCTGCTGAGTATCGACCATTGTTTTCCATCAGAATAGCGTTTTGGTTATCTTGCATGAGGATGTCCTCATTTGCGTAACCTCCTTGTGCTATTTGGAACAATCAGAACCACATTGATTTAGGAAGCTTCTCTCCTACT